GCAACCTTAAACTTCTGGGCCCAAGCAATCCTCTGGCCTCAGCCTCTTGAGTAGCTGGGACTACAGGCATGCACCACCCTGCCTGGCTAATTTTTCTATTTTTTTTTTTTTTCCAGAGACAAGGTCTTGCTCTGTTGCTCAGGCTGGTCTCAAACTCACGACCTCACGTGATCCTCCTGCTTTGGCCTCCCAAAGTGCTAAGGTTACAGGCATTTGACACTAAGCCCAGACTTTTTATTTTAAGCTTCATGTTAGGTATTGACTTTTCATGTGGCTTATACTATGATCAAAGTGATATCTGACATAGTTTTGTCTTTTTCATTTTTAGAGATTTAATTGGTGTGGGACTTCTTTTTCCTTAGTGCCCATAAATGCCTTTAGCAAAACTTGTTTGTTGGTTTAGAAAATGTTTATAGTGGTAAATTTTATCTGGTGAGGGCTTGGGGTATGTGGTGTAATTCTGCAAGTTGCATTAGAGCCTACTTTCAAAGTGTCAGTAATTGGATTTTAAAACATTTTTACTTCAGTAAGTATTTGGGAAAGCAATAAATTCAAAGTTGATATTAGAAATATGAATTTAGATCACAGAGTTGTTGAGTGTATTACAAACTGCTAATGTACTATGTGCGCAAACTATTACTTGCATGAAGTTGTGTTCTGTGTGTCAATTTTCTTAATGTTTTCCGAACATTCATCTGAGAGCTTTTTTAAAAAATTGGTGTGAAGGCAGATGTATTCTTTCAGATGGGAATTGTATTTTTATTACTAGGCATTAAGTTAGAGAACACTTATTTATTGGAGTATCACCAGATCCCTTGTTTCGCCTCATGCTTTACTACGTATACCTCCCCACCCCCACCCCCTGTGTTTATTTGCACCACTCTTTCCACCTGATAATGCGTTTCTTCTTTTTTCACTGTCATCTCTCAGTCCCTAGGCCTTTGAAAGGCCTTTGACAGGCCCTTACTATTGCTTGACATTTTCCTTTGTGTTGTATGACTGCTCCCTCTTCTCTTTCTCCTCTACTCCTGTACCCACCACTTCCCTCGTCATCCTCAGAAGCTGATTTTGCTTTGTATTTCATTTGAAAATTTGAGAACTCCCTTCCATTTGCACTTATTCTTTCTAGCTTTTCCAGAGGAAGGGGTCTCTCTTGTGTTCAGAGCTACTCTCTTGCTTTACTTGTGCTCTGGATTCTACATTCCCACCTGCTCAGGATCCTTTTATCAGTCATCTATTTTCTCCATCCCGTATCTTCAACCTCTCGTTCTTTACTGTGTCTGCTACATGCCCCTCTGCCCCCTTCTTTTGGACATAAAGTTCAAATCCCTTCTATTTTATAAATAAATATATATATATATATAAAATTAGATCCACACTCTCCTTGGCTTCTGTATAGCTTCTTGTTTCTGTAACAGCTCAGCTCAGAAACATTCACTCTACATTTCCTAATCATTTTCTCAATTTTTGTTGACCCCTATTTTCCTGAGTCTGGCTGCTGCTACCACTCTCCTGACACTGCACTCAGTAAGACTAACAGTCTACCTCTTAATGTCACATTCCTTTTGTTCTCATTTAACATCATCGTCCTTTGACACTATTCGCTACTTCTTCTTTCCTGAAATCTCTTCTGCTCAGGCTTCTTTGGTACCATTTCTGTCTTTGTCTTAGCCATTCGCTTTAGTGTCTTCTGTGGCTGGTGTTCTTTGGCTTGTCCCTTAAATGCTGCTATCGCCCAGGGTGCTACTCTTGTGGGTCTACACATTTGACCCATTCAGAGCCTTCTCCCCAAATACTACTCTATAGTTTATGTGCAATTCTCAAATATAATCTTTAGCCAAGCATACTTACAGTTCTTTTTTTCTTGTTTTTGGACCTACTATTAATGTTAGTATGTTCATTATAGAATTAATTTTTACCTTTGATAAATATGCTCTCTCACCTCCCTCTGTCTCCCCCCTCATATATGAGGGCTGTCTGGAAAGTATCCACTCATTGTTAATATAATGAGAGCAGTTTGCAGGACATCCATGTAACGTGGCAGCCAAAGGCCAGTGGACGGTAATGCGCACGTGCGAACAATGATGACTTCACTGTGCTAGTCAGTGGGGCGCTATATGCCACTGAGTGAGCACGTGTGCTGTGTGGCCGTCACACTCAAAATGACTGAGTGAGTAGAACAACAAATCTGCATCAAATTTTGTGTTAAGCTTGAACATTCCTCCACAAACTATTGAGATGATTCGGAAGGCTTTTAGGGATGACGCAGTGAGTGCAGCACAAATGAAAGTGTGGCACAAACGCTTCAAAGATGGTTGAGAATCTGTTGAAAGTGATCCACGTTCTGGGAGGCCTGCAACAAGCAGAGCACCTGAGGATGTGGAATGCTTTGGGTTAGGTTAGGAAACACTGGCTGGGAGAACTGTGTGAGGTCCCAAGGTGCATAAGTGAAGGGGAATGAGGTGTCATTGTCCAATGTGCAGCGTTTCTTATATCGTGTATCTGCTTCAATAAATGTCTCTATTTTTCGTCTTACATGGCTGGGTGCAGGCTCCTGTGGTTCAGGTGAGGAACCTAAGCCATTATTCTAGACTCCTCCTCCTTACTCAGACTCCTCATCTGATCTAACCGGATTTCATAAATTGTCTCCTGAATCACTTGTTATATTCTTCCTCCTGTATGTCTTCAGTAACATTGTCATAGTTGAGCTCATTATTATTTTTTGCCTATTACATAGCAAGTATTCAACAAATATTTACTGAATAAATGAGCAAACTAATTGGCACGTGAATGGGTGAATTAGTATATTTCTGTCTGAATTCCTCCACGACAGAGCTGCAGTTCTCCTGACTGGTCTGCCTGTTTTCATCCAGTCCGTTCCCACTTTGTCATTCACCATCACTTCGGAAAGAATACCGAGTATTCTATTTATGGCATGCCTCGGTCGAAAATCCTTCAGTAGTACTGCATTTCAGGGCAGATTCCTGCAAATTCCTTAGCTTGGCAAACAATGTTCTTCCTTATCCCCCTCCCCCGCAGCCATCTTTTTCATCTCTTCTCTTCCCACCCTCTTTTCAGTGACAGGAACTGACTGAACTTTCACAACACACTGTGCATCTCTGCCTTCCATGCTGTTCTCCTTCCCGAATCTTCCCCCTTCACCGAATACCCACTGATTCTTTAAAGTCCATGTTAAGTGTTCTCTCCTCTGGGGCACTCTGGGACACGCTGGGGTTGGGCTAAGTGCTACTTTCCTTGGGATCCCAATGACACACAGCACTAACTGCGCCCTGCTTCAGTCCTCGATTTGCTGGGTCATCTTTCTCTACTAGCCTGAGAGATCTTTGAAGGAAGAGACCTCGTGTTCAGTTTTGTATCCCTAATACCTAGAATGGTGCTTAGCTCCTAGTAGGCCCTCAGTAAATAATTGTTAGTCTAGGAATAGGAGAGTAAGGAGTGGTGTGAGAGATTATGAGGTTAGGCCACAAGAGGTGATTTTTCCATCAATCAAAGAATATGTCAGTTCATAAACTCGATTCAGCAATAGGGGTCAAATGGCTGTTTCCTGAGCATCTATAGGAAAATCATTCTTTGTTTTTATCTGGTGAAGGCTAAGTATTTGAATTGAGACAAAGAAAGTATTCGTACAAAAGCTAGTTATTCAGCAAATACCTCTTGGGAATGACTTTTATATGGGAGGCATTGAGAAAGGATAGGTACTAAACAGGAATATAAAAGCAAAACCTTGGAAACAAACATTCTTTTTGGAAGCAGAGCAGTAATAGTAAAAAGATGATTAATTTGGCATTATCACTACTAGCTATGTTATTTTTTTCTCTGCCTGTTAATATGATGTTGTGAAAATGAAATAGAGAAATATATGTAAAACTGCTGTAAACTGTGCTATAATGCTCTACAAATTGAAGGTGGTTGTCTTTTTCTTATTATCTTTGTCGTCAGTATTTCTTGCTGATTATTTGATTCCTTTGAAACAGTTTGATGCTTATATATTTGATAAAGAACTCCAGTATTTTTGTAGTAAATAAAAAATGTATGTCATTGACAATGCAATTTTATAAAAAATGATTACAAGAATTAGATTCTGTACCAGAGGCTTTTACTTTAGAATATGTGAGAAATATGTAATACTTGAGCTTACTGTCGCTTTTCAATTGTAGGTTGACTGTGCATTGTCACTTATTCGACTTGGAGTGGAGCGGAGTATTCCTGGTTTGCTGGTTCTGTGTGATAATTTGGTTACTCTTGAAACACTGGTTTATGAAGCTGGGTGTGACTTAACCCTAACCCTGAAAGAACTCCAGCAGATGAAAGACATTGAAAAACTAAGATTACTGATGAACAGTGTAGGTTGTATTTTGACTTTCTTTTTAAGCATTCCCTCTGTGCTTTGATTACTGTGTGTCTCAAATCAAAGATGAAATGTCCTCCAAGCCTGAGAACTTAGTAAATAAAGGACATTTTCTTGACTTTTTCAAAATCAAATGTTATAGATAAATTATACTAAAGACACAAAAAAATATTTTGGCTATTTTTAATACCTTGTTTGCCCTCTATTCAGACCCATCTGCATAATTTGTGGTGTTTTTTTTTTTTTTTCCTTCTAGTTAGGCATATTTCCAAACTAGCTGGTCGTTCTAGTAACCCTGTTTTTAATCTTTCACTGAGATAAAATTCCCAGCTACTTATATGTTTCAAGGGCTGGAAAAGAAAGTACTGAATTTCAGAGGGCTGAGTGACTGTGTGAAGAAAATGTCTTGGCTTCAGGGTTGGTATGTTTAGGAGAATTTTCCTAGCTATTCTTAGATTATTCTTAGGTCAACCTATATTTTATCTGATTTCTACTCTGGCCACTGAGTCTAGAGGCAAGAACGATGCTACCGTGGTGCTGGGAGCTGTCAAACAATGCTCTTTCTAGTCCGTTGCTCTTTGGCAGCCTAGTTTGAATGGGCTGAATGAAGGGGCAGAATCACAGCTGCCTGCTAGGTTCTTCTTTCTCCCTTGACTCTTTCACTATCTTCCATCCGCTCTCCCTCCCTCTCCTCTCTCTCTCTCTCTGTCTCACTTTCTTTTTGTCTCCCTATCTTCCACATCCCTCTCATCATCTCTCCCCTCTTGTGTTAGTCTTCCTTTGTCTTTCCCTTTGTCCTTACTGTCCCTTTCTCTTTCTTTCATTAGTTTCTTTGCCCAGTAATCCACCCAGTGAAAATTGACTTGTCTTATATATAGGACTTTTCTTAAGGGATTTAAGTTTATCTTCTGGGATAATTAACAGAAGCAATTGTGTAATTTTAGGGATAATGAGTAAAATTATCTCTGTCATTTGGAGTTTTGTACAGATGGATATAAAGGGCCAAAACAGAGAGGATGAGGAAAAAGATTGGGGAGATTCTGGGCTTTTATAGATTAGACTTCATTCTCAAATTGCTGCCTTTTTTTAGAGCTTCTTTGTTTATCTGTCTATCTCTGCTTTTTT